CCCTGTTGCTTTTTTTGTGTGTGTGTGTGTTTTGTTTTCCTTTTATATATATATATGTGATGTCTGAATCGCTCTGTGATCTTCTTTTTCCATCATCGTAATGGCGTCTTTCGTTCAACATCTGGCACAAATCTTGCGGAGTTCAGCGAGATTTCCCTATATGTGACATACGAGGAAATCTTGTTGGGTTTTAACAAAAGTTCTCGGAGTAGCAATGAAATTTAGTAGATTAAAAAATTAATCTAAAAAACCACGTTCTCAAAAAAATAGTTGGGAAGTGAGCAAAATTTGAGTTGCAAAATTTGATCCGGACAAACAAACTGACAAGAAAGTGAGTTAATAAAAACGTGTTAAAATGGCTTCCACTTTGGTGGCTGTGAAGGCGGCTGTCAATGAAAATGGCGGAATTGCCTTGGAATGACCTGGAGGCAACCCTTAGAAAGAATGTCAAGTTGATTTCAAAAATTCTGAGGGGAAAGCTGGGCTACAACAAAAAAAGGGGCGTCTCGTCTTTTGAGTGGAGAGTAAAACTCTGCCAGGGTGAATTATGAAAAAAATTCCAAAAAATTTGTCAAACAGGGCTGATATTTTTTGTGTGTCAAAGAATATGTTTTCCCTAAAGAAAAAAAAATTGTTTCAGGTCAACTGTAGGCCATTTTCATTGCTACTCCGAGAACTTTTGTTAGAACCCTTGTACGTGTTTCCATGCTAGAATTTCCCCTGCAAGTTTGAGAGGATGTTATCAGTAGGACCCCGAGATTCGGACATGATTGGTGCTTGGACCTTATTGTCTCAATGTTTTGGATTGTCCGCATGTTGGATCTTGTTTTTCCCATAGACTTCAATATATGCTAACATATTTGAATTGGTTCTCGTGATGGTCATAAAAAATTTGGATTACAAAGCACAAAAATTGAATAAAAATTGTTTTTTTTTCAAATTTCAGATTCAAAAACACAAATGTGTGGAAGAAAATCACATATAATCTGATTTTTTGCGAGGAATATAATCTGGATTTTCTGCATGTTGGATCTTGTTTTTCCCATAGACTTCAATATATGCTAACATATTTGAATTGGTTCTCCTGATGGTCATAAAAAAATTAGGATTACAAAGCACAAAAATTGAATAAAAATGGTTTCTTTCAACTTCCAGATGCAAAAATACAAAGGTGTGGAAGAAAACCACATAAAATCTGATTTGTTGGTCTTGCTCTTGCTGTAATGTGCACAGATGATTGGAAAACTGTGGAAAATAAGCACAAAACCAGCCTGTTTTTGATGATGAATTCAGGTGAATACTGTATTTACTTCAAGTACCACACACACCTTTTTTCCAGAATTTCAGTAAGAAAAAAAAGGGGTGTGCCCAATATCCAGGGATAAAATTCTCTATGAACATTTTCGGAAAACCCTTTGTGTCATATGCAGGTACATTTCAACAAAAAAATAAGAGGAAATGCATGGCGCCAAGTCTCATTTTTCATGGGGAATTAATGGCTGAAGGGATAGCAATTTTAGGAATATTACTTTCAAGCAGGGACAACTTTTCTCCAATAATTGTGTCTGAGATGCAAAAAGAAGTAAAGGATGTGGAAAATTGTTATCTATTACAGGGAAAGCTGCCATTAAATGCAAGCACACTCAACTGCTGCTCCAGTGGACAATAAAAAGGAGGAATGGCAAAATATTAATCTTCAAAAATGGATCCAGCACACACAGTAGCCATAGGATTTCACAACATTTAGTGCACTACAAATCAGTTTGCTGCCAGAATTTGGCATGGAAAGAAGCAAGATAGCATTTACGTTTGCATTTTTCCACTGCTAGTGACAAGTTGAAAAGGGTTTCAGAGGTTGAAAAAATGATGAATTGTTCAGCATGTTGCAAATTTGGCATTTCTGAGTCCTGTACTCTAAGACTGGAGGCAGCAGGATCAATACATTCCATTTTCAGTTATACAACCTTATTAAAAAAAATTATTTTTGGCCAGCAAAAACTGGGGTGTGCGTCATACATGCTGGAGATACATTTTTGGGTGATTTTCACACAGAAAATCTGGGTTGCGTGCCTTAATTGAGGGCAAGTGGTACTTGAGTAAATACCATATACAGTGGCCCCCTGCCTAACAGACCTCCCGTGTAAGGGATTTTCGCCAAACAGACCAGCTCTGCAAGCAGTTTTTTCTCCCGCTCAACAGACAAAATCCGCCAAACAGACTTCTTTTGGTTTAAAATTAGTGATATTCTTCTCTGCACGTGACTAGCTTAACAATTAATATTTAACCTTCACAAGGCTTTATCATTCCCTTCATGAGGTGTATCATTGGAATTTAAAGTAGAGGATAAAACTCTAGAAGATCTCAAGGACTTTTTGTCTAACAGACTCGTCCCTTGCACGAATCAAGTCCGTTAGACGGGGGTTGACTGTACAATACTATTATTGTCTTTTTGTGAATATATTTTCAGTAGTTTTATGTTGAGGAATAAATCGCCACAACAAACAGACAAATAATTTTATAAGAATTATTTATAGTTAGAGAAAATGAATGAACTGATTGTCAGGCCGGAATGACAAAGGGTTTGATGAAATGAATGAAAAGCGTTGCTCAGCCTTTAGGAGGCCGGATCCTCTGGATGGGAGTCCCACATGCTAGTTCTTTAATAAGCAACCCACAGGCAACCAAGAAAGGAAATCCTCAGACACACTCTCAAACACACAACACGTAAATTGTTCAGACAAGCCTCAGAGAACAATCCTCAACACAATCTGCTGTCAGGCAAGGTACGCAGTCAAGTGAAGGCTTTGGAGCCTTTGCTGGGTTTTGTTTCCATTCTCCTGATCAATATCTATTCACCTGGTTTACCGCAATGCTGCAAACCGGGTGCCACTCCACTTCCTAGTCCACGGGTTGCTTTGGTGACTGGTTGATGTGCACGTGCCCAAGCAAGGATGCTATGCTTGGGTCACACCACGTCATTTGCGACCCCAAAATGATAGTTGTGTTTCATTGCAACACTAGACATAAACTTATATTGCGATGACAATTTGTTCCATATAAACTTGGAGACATTTGATTTTGCATGAAGATTCAAGCTCCTGATATAATTACTGTAACTCTATGCATCAGTTTTTAAGAATAAGCGAATATTTTTTAAAGTATCTGAAATGACCGTCAATTTTTTTTAAAAAATTTTTGCAAAACTCTGACAGGGTGAATTTTTCAAAAAAAATTTTCAAATATGGCTGATTTTTTTGTGTGCCAAAGAATATGTTTTCCCTAAAGAATACATGTTTTTCAGCTCGTTTTTATGTCATTTTAATTTCTATTCTGAGAACTTTTGCTTGAACCCTCGTATAGTTCTGGTAATTTTTTTTAGTCAAACCCTCCGTGAGTAAAGATATTTTTTGCCAAACTTTTTTCTTCTCTTCTGTTTATTTGTTTGACATTCGAGACTAATCTGCATACCGTTGGCCGGATTTTCATGTCTTTCATGAGCAGATGCAATCCGGCGATTCGGGGCCTTGATTAAGTCGCTTGTGTACGGACGTCGGATTTTGAATGATCCATCGGGTTTCATCAGAAAGGCTCTTCTTTCACGTCTACCTGCATTGCTTGTTAAGATGCGAGATTAGCTGTGACAGTGACGGGGTTTTTTCTTACATCTGTTGGTCCTGCTGATGCTGCTGCATGCTGCTGCCACTCATCGGGGATCTGATTTTTTTTTTCATCATGAAATGCAGGGGTCCGAAATTGTTCTGAGGCAACAACAAAATTGAGAAAAATGGAACATTTTCAGATGTTTTTTTTTCATGCGTTCGTATAAGACACGAAAATCCGTTCGACTGTGTGCAGATTATTCTCAAATTTCGAGCAAAAACAGACGATACACAATAAGTTTTACAAAAATGTCTTTCTCTGCCAGAGACTAAAACTGGAAGATGAGCGTCAGGAAATGCTTTCTTTAATTGCGCTTGAAGCAAAATCGAAATTTGCACGATGAAAATATTTCAACAATGTTCCCTCTAAAATACAGAAAACAAAACGTAATCGAGGAATCACAAATTTATGATGAAAAAAATCATTATTCAGATAAAGTTTTAAGCTTGAATCATGATCAAAATCTCACGATGAAAAGAAAATTTCCTCTGAAACACAGAAGACGAAGTACTGTATAATCCAGGAATGAAAAATTTCTGAGAAAAAAAAATTGAAGCATAAAAGGGAGCAATTTTTGTGAGCTTCTTAAAAAAAACAATGACTTTCAAGCATTTCCGTAGCTTGGAGACTGACAAATTAAGGAAAAAAATTTCATCTGCTTATTTTGAGTGTGTGAATGAAACCCCATTTTTTAAGGTTTCGCGGTATTGGGACAGGAAAAATACATTATGACGCCACCGAAATTTTTCTTATTCTGTGCTTCATCTTCTTGGCAAATAACTGGCTACTGTACATGATGATTTTTAAATTGCATTTCTTTCAAATCTAGGATAAAATCGTATTATTCTAAAAGCAATAAATATTGATGTGTTTTTAATGTTGTCGAGCTCACTGGTGTCGAAAAAAATCGAGTTAGGGAGGAATTCAGTTAATGGGGAAACAGCGATTTTTGTTTCTTCTGGATATAGACATCAAGAATTACAGGAAGCTAAAATATGGAATTTTATTTCCTTAAACTGCAGAATAAATGAGTTGATAAGATTTAGAACTTTGATGCAAGGGTTCATTTGGCAAATTAATCTTTCATTCCCGTTCAAAACGCATCAAGTTCCATGTTTTTTTTTCTCTTTCCTGTGTCGATAAAATAATTACTAAAATGCCTCCGAAAAATTCGAGTTATGAAAGGTTTGAAGGGGGTCAAAGCCTTTGAGTTATAAAGTTTTTTAAACTGAATTCTTCATAAGGAGATTAAAAAAAATTGACATCGAGATTCGACTTGTCAAGTACTTTGTTTTATGTATTTTTAAATTAAATAATTTTCAAAATGTTTGTCTTGACAGGTGGTGGAGGACACTGACGACTTGTCACTGCTTATCATCGTGTGTCCTACACATTGAAAGAAGAAAAAAACGAAAAGAAGAAAAAACATGACAATGGACGAATACGAGCAACCCGGCGACGACGTCGGGTACCGCGACTACGACGTGGTCCGAAACGAAACCCTGCTCTTTTTCCTGGAACACCTCATGGTTCGCGGAGGGCCCCGAACCCTGCACGACCTGAGCTGCCAGTTCGGAACCCGTGGGTTCACGAGGGACATGCGACTGGTGGCCGGCGGGTCCCAGGCCGGGCTTCGGAAATTCCTGGCTTCGTACCCGTCGCTGTTCACGCTCCACAACGACGGCCGGGTGTCGGTGACGAGTTTCCGGAACCGGAAGGATTTGGACAGAGATGACGGAAGTGGGAATGGTGGTGGTGGTGGTGGTGGTGGCAGTGGAAGTGGCAGTGGCGGCGGGGATTTAGGCGCCGTGCCTGGGGAGCACAGGGACGCCGCGGCGGCGCGATACTTTGGTGACAAGCTGCGGCAATACGGCGCCGGTGCGGAAGTTCCGGTGAGCAAATTTTTCAATTCTTAAAAAAAATTCAGTCCAGACTATCCAAAGACAATTTTTGCTTTTACGAAATTTCAAATTTATGCGGGGTTGGTCGTCAAAAGTTTGCAATAGTGGATGAAGACGCGTGGACAACGTTAAAAATTTCATCAACATTTTTATCCTTTTTACAATCTGATCCAAGGCACTTCGTTTCTTTCTGTATTTTTTTATAATCATGAGGAATTTAAAGCAAAATTGTCAATTTAAAAAATGCAGTCCAAAATCTTCCAAGAAACATTTTCGCGCTTAGTAAATTTATAACCTCCTGCGGGGTTTGGCCAGAAATTCGCATTTGAGGATGAAGACGTGATCAACGTTAAAAATGTCATGAACATCTGTGTGTGTTTGTGTTTTTTAATTTGATCCGGGACTTCTTTCTTTCTTTCTTTCTTTTTTCGTAATTGAGAGAAATCATAGCACATTCTGCAGTTTAAAAAATCCAGTTCAGACTTCGCGAAGAACATTTTTGCGTTGGCAAAATTTCCAACCTTGTGCATGGTAGGCCTAAAATTTGCAATTGAGAATGAAAATATTGTATGTTAGCAACTTCAAAAAATGTCGTCGAAATTCCCTGTGTGTTTTTGTTTTTTTTAATCTTATCCAGGTCTTTCCTTTCTTCCTTTTTGGCGGAAAACGAAAATTGAAATCTTCCAATTTTGTGTCTTTTTAGCTTCCACTTTAAATGATCATGACGACCAAAAGTATATTCCTTGGAAATATATTTCCGAAAATTATCCACAATTTCGAAATCGTGGAAGATGCCATTTTGATTAACGTATTTGCTATTGGCAACTTCTATAGAGCTTATAGTAATTGAAATGATGAAGGAAGAAAGGACAATTTCTGCAATTTTCGAAACATTTTTCAGAAGACTTTCTTTTCAAATTCTCATAACGACCAGAACATACCCGATCACTACGCGCAAAAAATTAGACTTATTTGCGAATTTTGCTCGTTTGATGACTTTCAACGCAGTGTAGTGCTAAATAATGCTAATGCTTGTACGCTAAAAATCTTCCGTAATCACGTCTTGGATGTTGAAAATATATTATCCCGTGAATATATAAAATGTTCTGCTTTCCTCAATTTCTATTCTTGATAATATTGCTAGATTTGAAGGTTTATCTAATACTTTACTGTACTCCTAATCAATGCTAAAAAAACAAGAATTGTCAGAATGGGCCCAGGTTTCAATTGAAGAAAAGTTACGAAAAAAAAAAGAGCTTAGACCTCCTTTCAAGTCTTGTTATTGATCCCACAGTGCTTGGAAAAATTGCGACGTAAAAAAAAAAATTGGGTACTCGAAGAAATTCTTGTGAAGCACGGAAGAAATTTCAGAATTAAAGGGCGAATATGGCATGAGCATAGTTTTTCCTTTTTTTGTCGTTTTACTTTATTTCTATGCCTTGGGGCGAAAAAAGTACGACTGTCAGTCAGAAAAAAAAATATTAATGTTAGTAGCTGAATTTAAATATCCTCGCCGGTAAGGAACGAAGTTGAGTGTTTCGCGCCGCGGATTACAAGGAGGAATTTATTCTACATGCTCCAAGGATTTGAAGAATTCCACGCTAATGATCTCTTTGTTGAATTTAATTTATTTATTCATTTTTTTATTTTATTTTTTTTTTTCATTATTAAGGTGAGGTGCTTATTGGGGCACCGATCCCAGGCGCCGCCCCGGGTTCGCCACGCAGCCGGGCAGCAATTGGAGGAATTCAAGGCGTTCCTGGGTCGCTTTCCAGAGGTTTTCGACATGCGTTGCGACGGGGAAGTGGTTGTTTTGCTGGACCCTGACTCGGATTTGGCGCCTCGGACCAGGCGGGCAGCTGGCGACCCTTTGGCGGCCGGGTTCGCCGCCACGGGCGCCGCCGGGCGCGTGGACCCTCAGGTTTGTGGGGCGATCAATCGAATTCCTTTTCTCAGACAAATTTTCGAAAATATTTCTGGTTTATGGACCGTAACCCGGCTTACGGACCGCAATCCGTTTTACTGACTCTTAATTTAATTAATTTAATTATCTTAATTTAATTTTTGAAAAGTTTTCAAAAATTAAATTTTTAACCTATTTTCAATTTTTTCAAGGTTGCATGCGCAAAGATGTTTTCTATTCTAAATTTAAATCTTTAAACATGCAAAAATCTGGAATTTTGACAGAATTAAAATCAAAAATTTAAAAACATTTTTAAAATTGTACAAAAATCAACCAAAAATTTCTTTACCTTTTTAATTTTACACGTTTCAATTTTCAACATTTTTCAATGCAAAATAAAAGGTAAACTTGTAAAACATCAGTGTGCATGACACACTGCAAATAATTTTCAAGTTGCATCAAAAGCAACAAAATTAGAATGAGCTAAACTGAAAAAATTTAATTCTTGCTTCTGTTCTTCTTACAAATTTTTCTTCTTTCAAAATTTTCCAAAAAATTAATGACGTAGACTCAGTCATTGTAGACCTCGCTTATGTTGCATATAGAAATATATTCATGCTCTAAAACAAGAAGTCTTGTTTCACTTGGAATCAGCCCCAGCCATAAGAACTAAAACTTCTTGTTGAAGGGTTTATCCTTGAGTAAGATACAAGAGAAGAATTTTTTAATTTCAAGATGTTTTAGCAGTCTCAAAAGACTACTTTTATTGAAAACCCAAAATAAGAATAACAGTATATATTTTAATAATTTCAGCAGCATATACAATTTTTCAAATTGCAGAGAATTTTTCAGTTTAGCTGAAAATTCAAAATTATTTGCTGTATTCACCAGTATCCAAGATTTAGAAAAGATAATGGCTGAAGTAGCAGAACAAATTCATTTTTTGTAGCTTGCCTGAAATATTTTTTAAGCACCCTGTGACATTGGTGGAGAACTTTGGTCTTAACTGTGAAGTTTTCACTGATCATCATGCAGTAAATTGAAAAAAAAAGTTTCAAAAATCTCGGAACCTCAAAACATTATGGACGATATCATACTTCTGCTTTTTATAATCATAAATACTTGCGAAATAACAAAGGTCGCGCCTAAGTGGGACAACCCTCGTAAAACAAAGCCACTTTTCGAAAAAGAAGAAAAAAAAAAGAAAATTACTGGCCCCAGGAATCCTGTCCCATAAAAATTAATCCGAGTTTCTGTGAAAAATTATTTTCTGAAAAACGTATCGAAGTTTATGAAACGATGCTCAATGGTCCTCCAAAGCATAACAATTGTAATTTCAATCGTCTATTTAATTTTAGGGTATACTGCTCAGTACAATACAATGACCAATGCTGCTATTTTCCAATTTATTATTCTATTTCTGCGGTATATCAAGTAATTTATTCTTTGCTAACTTTTTGTAAGACAATTTTTTGCGCATGGAAATAATTCCAATAAATCAGAAATTATGTGGACCGAACCTGAAATTTTCAAGGACGCTTTTTGGAATTGCATGGGTTAATTTTTTCGAAAAACTGATGAAGTAAAAAAAAAAACTGACAGCCGAGATGATTGAATTTATTCTCAAAAAAAAAAAGCTGAGATATTCAAATGCGACAAATGAATTATTAGCACGCAACGATTTATCGCAACTTTCGTTTCGTTTCAGCAATGATTAATTTACTCTGCGTAACTTGGTGGAAAACCTAGAAGAAAAAAAAAATGCTCGGGCCTTGTATAAAGTTTCGAAGCATTAGACATGAGTGGTCCAAGAAAATGTCAACACAACCTTCACGGTTGGCTTATTTTTTAAATAAAGAAAACATATTTTAATACCCTCTGTAGGCGGCCCATGAAACTTGTCTTCTTCCCAGAGACGACCTCATTACGCAACAACAGCAGTTTGAGAGAAGAGAACAAAGATGATGATGATGATGAACAAGGAGAATAGAAAGATGATAATGCATAAGGGGAATATAAATAAATTACTGAATAAGGAGAATATGGAAGGGAAAGAGCGGCGAGCAAATGTGGAAGTTGAGAAATGACGTAACATGTCGCTGGAACCAGAGCCGCCATCTGGTTTTCTTACATGCCCTCACCTTTCTTATAGTGTTAATTTAGGCAAAGCTTGATTCGCACTCATTTCTCTGAGGTTTCTTAACACGGAAAGGAAAGGTAAATATTTTTCAAGCAATTATGAAAGGGGACTCTCTCAAGGAAGCAACTAGTTTTTCTCACATTTTGGCCAAAAAATATTTTGTTCTTGGCATAATTTGCAAGGAACGCACATTCAACATTTGAGCCAAAAAAATGAAGGTTCCATCTTTCTTGGTCTTTGTTGGTTATATTTGGGACAAATGTTGTGATGGAAGGTAAATCACAAAGATGCAAAAAGATGAAAAATGAATATGAGACGCAATCCGCCCGGGAACAGGGCAGGGGATTCTCGGCAGAATCCCAAAAGAGAAACAGAACAATATATTTCATCCCAACAGGATTTCCCGTTGCGGGATTTTTTGCGCAGCGGCAGCGTTATTTTATTAATTTATATAACGGGTATTGCGGGACAACTATCCCTTACAAAACCCCCCTTGGGACTACGGCATCTTCTAACGGATAGATGTCGCAGTCCCAATGTGGAAGGATAGGCGGACCGCGCGGAAAGAAAAATTCTCGAAAGTTCGATGTATGTGTGGGGTACTCGAAAAAGTGAAAGTTTGAAGATGGATGCTATCTGAAGTGCAAAAGTGGAAAGAAGACGTTCCCATAGAAGTCGTCATGTCTCGAGTGGCCAGTTCAAGACAGGACGACAAGTGAAGATGAACAAGTTTCGCGAGTTTTTTTTTTTTAAAGTGTTACGCTTCCTAATAACGCTAAGCTTTCTAATATGCGGAATCCATATCGTTATTTTAAGCTTTTCTAAGATGCGAAATCAATATCGTGATTTTAAGATTTTCTAAGATGCGAAATCAATATCGTGATTTTAAGCTTTTCTAAAATGCTGTGATTTGGCTGTGATTTAGTGAAAAAAAATAAGATTTTCTAAAATGCTGATTAAGGTTTGGTAACGGTAGAGACTCTTGTTTTTACAAAAAAAATAATGGAAACGAGTATTAAGTATGCTTTGTAATATGCTAAAAGATAAACAACGTAGGCTTTGCAATATGCTAAAAGATAAGCAACGTAGGCTTTCTTAAGATGCTAAGATAGATGAATTAAGCTTTTTGGAATATGCTAGAATAAACGAATGTTGCTTTTCTAAAATGCTCAAATTAACGAAGTAAGCTTTTCTGAAATGCTCAAATTATTCCATAAACCATTAATTTTCAGGGTAGGCAATGCGTGGAATGAGGTTGCTCTGCCTCTCTTTTCTGGACCATCGTGGTCAAACGTGCGTGGTATGAGGTTTCTCTGCCTCATACTTCTTTGGACCATCGTTGTCAAACGTGCGTGGTATGAGGTTGCTCTGCCTCATACTTCTCAAAAACGATTTTTCGTCATATTTTCAAGGCATTCAAAAATTCGCGGTGCGTCAAAAGTACGAATAGTGATCGAAACAGATTGCGTGCAAGAGAAGGAAGATTTCGTGAGATCGCGAGGATCAAGTCAACGTTCGTGATGGCCGAAGGTGGCAGTGGAGATCCAACCAAGAAGAAGCTCGAGAAGAGTGCGGCAATGAAGAGCATGTCTGGTACGTGTTGAGTGATGAAAGTTTTTCGTGGATTTCCATCTTGAAACGCCTCTTGTCTTCATGACAGACGATCTACACGAGTTGTTGGAGAAAATGAAGGTCCTTGATTTTCCTGCTCGTCCAAAACGTCGGTTAGAGGCTGTAGAAAAGGCTGAGAGGGTTGATTCGTCATTAAAAAATGATATCGCCAATGAGCTGTCGAATCTCGTGCGAACCTTATCCGGAGAACAACAACGGCGTTTGGAGAGATTCATCAAGGTACATCTTCTACACTATGTTCAGTCATTCAGGGTTAGGCTTTCTAATTTGCTAAAATATAAACTCATCTGAGATTTTCAAGTATAGGCTTTTCTAAGATGCTAAAATATGAGCTTTCCAAGATGCTAATTCATTTCATTCCATACGTTCGATCCCCACTAATCATACCTCATAATTTTTAGCTAATTCAGAGCGATTACGTTGCCGACTCGGAGCTGCGCAGTATTGAGCGTGAATTGCGTGCAAAAAGATCTCGGATTACGGAGATGGGGGAGGAGTGTGCATTGCTCGAAGGAACCGAGGGAGTCTTACGTGAGAAGATTGACGTGGAGAAGGAAAGGTTACGACAAGCTGAGATTCTACAACGTAACTCGGAGCAGGCTTTGAAGATTGCCTTTGATAAGATCTTAGTGAGGGACCTAGCTGAGTTGAATGACGCGCTTGGACCTGGAAGACGTTACTTCGCTGCGGGTGAATCGTACGTGGAAAAACTACAAGGTATGTTATCAGCTGCTACTTTCTTTCGAATGTGGAAAATCAAGATTGTAATAAAGTATGGGAAAAAAGTGAATGGTGTTATCTTTTCGATATTCTAGGAGATCTAAAGTTCGTCAGTTTCCGCGACGTTGAGTTCGTTGTTGGACCTAGAGACAAGTTGATCCTGGAGTGGGAAGCAAAAACCGTGTCAACAAATCGGGTTTCGGTAATTGTGCCTGACTACGTGGAATCACTGACTGGGGCGCTTGTTCGATTTGATGAAGAGTGCTCTGGGTCTGGTCAACAAGAGGAGGTGTTACTTTCATCAACTGGTTCTCTAAGGAATGATGTATTGACGGACGGTTAGTTTTACTTTCTCCTCTTTTTCCTTTTAGTTATATTGTTATTATATGGGGTAGTGTGGTTGTTGATCTTATATTATAGATGAGATCTTGCGTGTTTTTCACATAACGCGTTTTGAACCGGAGGACAGAAACGGTTATATGCGGAATGCCGATATGGGGTAGTGTGGTTGTTGATCTTATATTATAGATGAGATCTCGCGTGTTTTTCACATAACGCGTTTTGAACCGGAGGACAGAAACGGTTATATGCGGAATGCCGTCGTCGCTATGGGCATTACTCGGGACTTGATTGATAATTTGGGCGGCTGGAGAGTGCCATTGCCCATTCCGGGTTGTGTAGTTGAGGATTTTAACTACATAACTAATGAGTATAAATTGCTTGGGGATCGAATTCGAAATTCGGATCGTCCGGCGGTAATGGTGTTGGGAACTTCGATGACGTCCACCTTTAATATAACGCGCCATCGTAGATTTTATAAGACAAGGATTTACGATGTGCAGCGTATTCGGTATCCCTGTCCTAACTTTTCATATCTGACCGAAGGGATGGATGTCGACATCTACCAGGTATTTATTCAATTATCCTTGATGATGTTAGAGATAACCTATTGGTGGAAACAGATTGAATAGTCTGGTGAAGGGAATTTTATGTTTTAATAATGATGTGGGTGCTTGTCTATATTTTCATAATATTCCGGATGGTATCATCTAAGTTTTCGCGTTATTTTCTGGTCTTTTTAAGGTGTCGATAAGTGGATGGAGTCTGGTGACGAAGAAGGGAAGCATTGATTTGGATGCTTTAAAGAAGATGATTTATGACGGGCTCAACTTGGATGATGACTTCAAGTTTGCTCAAATCTATCTTCGCGGAGGGACGAATGACATAAAACAACTCTGTACCTACAAATGTCATGATCCACGATTTCCTACGTTCAAGGCATTTTTTGAGGAGTATGTATAAGGTGTCGATAAGTGGATGGAGTCTGGTGACGAAGAAGGGAAGCATTGATTTGGATGCTTTAAAGAAGATGATTTATGATGGGCTCAACCTGGATGATGACTTCAAGTTTGCTCAAATCTATCTTCGCGGAGGGACGAATGACATAAAACAACTCTGTACCTACAAATGTCATGATCCACGATTTCCTACGTTCAAGGCATTTTTTGAGGAGTATGTTGGGTTTATTCGAAATTTGGCAAGGAAATTTGAGTGCCCTATCTTCGCGTTGGGTGCTTCTCCTCCTGCGCCTGAGCCAGTGTTAAAGGGGCCGTTTGCAGTCTTATTGGATGCAGATGATATGGAGGGTTTACCAGTGATACCACTTAGATCTTGTGGTGAGATCGAAGGCGTCGATGAAGATACGAGAGAGAGGGCTGGAAGAGCATTTCAACGGGCATTATATCATCGTCTGAATCGGATGTATGGTATAAGGTTTGAGATTGACTTGGAGAAGGACTTATATTGGATACCGCTGCCCACACCAATTGATAATTTTGTTAATTTTAGTCGTGGGGGTGGTCTGGGTGACTTTGGTCATTTGAATTCCAGCTCTTCTTTGCTTTTTGCCAAGTATCACTGTCTTGCCATTTGGCAGGGAATTAAGTATCTTCGCGGTTATCACAAGAAGGATGGGAGAATTTGCTCAGGGGGGTGTCCAATATGGATGATAGATGGGAATGTTATGCCTGGCATTGATCCGGGAGTCGTTCATCAGCATGCAGGCTCATTTGGGCTTGTTGAGAATTGCATTGGACCGATGCTATCTACTGATAGGTATAAAAAATAAAAATAAGTTATTTTAATTCGTCATAATTAAAAATGATTTCCTTTTCATTTTCAGTGCGAATGTCAGCAGATTTGATTATGAGGAATGTTTCACTACGGAGATGGCTTTATCTGCACGGTCTGGTGCAAGGTCTGTTGAAGTTGGAGACATTGTCAAGATCATGGACTTGGAGGGGCATCAAATTGTCGTTCATCGTACCATTAACGGGGTTTGGACTGTTGGTCACAAGGGGAGGTTGTATAGTGATCTGAAGGATGTACGTGTTGTGTCGGGAGTTTTCACATGTCGTTTCGAGGGTTGATGGGTCGTTTTCGAAATTTTTTCGTTGATAAGGGGTTTTCCGTG